CACACACACACACACACACACACACACACACACACACACACACACACACACACACAAGCACAAACACACAAGCACACGCGAACACAAACGCAAACACACACACAATCGGTTTTATATATGTATTCCTTCCTGCTTTGTTTGTACATCTTTCTTCATGTTTTCTTGTATGTCTTTCTTCCCTTTTTTTCCAAGTACTTTTGTGTGTGTCCAAGTGAGCACCTCTAACAAGTGCCAAACAGTCGGTGGCAAGTTGTTTGGACTGCCTGCAGGACTATTAGGGGGCCCGCTCTGTCCGTGATGTCTGTGATATAATATATGGTCTATGGGTGATCACAGACATTCGACGGAATGACCCCGTGGCTCAGCAGGTGGTGGGAACCAGCAGTCTGCGGCATTCTTTTTGTGGTAGGCGATGGATGGTATTGGTGCGTGTCGAGGGTGTGGACTGCCTTGTCTGCGCTCTCTGCTGCCTTGATGCCTGCCCACTTGCCATGCATCTCTCTCTCCCTGCATCTTGTCTGTTTGCCGTGTGGTTTGGTTGCCTGGTCAGTGTTGCTTTGTGGCTCGCCGGATTGTTGCTTTGCTACCCATCTGCCTGCCTCGACTTTCCGTGTACTTCGCTTGTGTGCCATGTAGTTTGGCTGCTTTGGCAGCGCTAACTTGTGCTTCGCTGTGTTGTTGCCTGCTGCCCGTCCGCTTGCACTGTCGTTCCATGCAGTTAGCTTTGGCATTGTGCTACCGTCTTCACCCGAATAGAACGCCCGGTCATTATCGCGGCATCTGGACTGAAAGTTGGGCCAAATGCAGCTATAATGACCGGGCATTCTATTCGGGTGAAGACGGTAGTTGGGCTACCCTGTTCGCGTTACAGGTGCTTCGCTGAGTCGTTGCCTTGCTGCCATGTTCTATTTTGTGGTTTTGCCTGCATGCAGCCTGTTTTCAACAGGAGTTAAAACTTAAAAGAGTCTATGACTCAAAGCATCGACATGGGGATTCGGTAGATTGTAAAGGATGCAGCCTCCTGATGAGTTGGTGCAAGGCCAACGAAACAATCTGTCATCATCAGTTTTATTTAATTTTTTTCGCTCTTTACTTTTGATACTTGAACTTTTCTTGTTTGCTGCTTTTTGTCTAGCAGTTCTTTGGCTCGCTGCCTTTTACTTTGCTGCCTTGCGCTGTTTGGGTGGGCAGCTTACGTCCCTTGCTGCCGCTTGTCGTGCATGCCAGCACTGCCTTTGACTGCTGCTTTTTTTTGGTTTCTTAAACTTTCTTTAAACTTGCGTGCCGGCCGGGAGATATCATCATTTCAACTGACCAGCCCTAGGTAATTCATAATTGCAGTTACAACCTTTTTAAAAAAAAAAAAAACCTTCTATTCTGGGGGGCCACAGTCTGGTTGCTCATCACCGGCAAGCTGAAAGAGTCAAAAAAAGAGATCAGGAAGTAAAAAGACAGGAAAACAGGGGAAACCAGATGCCATCTGCTTCCAGTGGAGTTTGAACTCAGATCTGTATTTCAACAGTTCAGGTGTGAAACCAACTGAGTTAGGCCAGTGGGTCTGCTGCTTTATTTAGCTTGCTTCCTTTCGCCCTGCGGCTTTGTGCCTTGCTGCCTGTGCTTTCCTGCCTTTGGGCCTTCCCGCCCTTTCTTTGCTGCCTTGTGCTGTTTGTCTGATTCGGTTGTCGTTTTCTCACTGTAACGAGAGTTTTTGTGAAATCGTATGGTTGCTACGTCATTGCATTTTTCTAGCTCTTCTTATATGCCCTTTCGTTGTCTCTCGTCCTGGATTGACACCCGTCTCTCTTGAGTCTTTCATCTCCGTACTGTTCAGCACAATCCGCCATGATACGATCGTGAAGGTTTCTCTCCCATCACACACACACACACACACACACACACACACACACACACACACACACACAGAGAGATACGATCGTGAAGGTTTCTCTCCCCATCACACACACACACACACACACACACACACACACACACACACAGGTTGGTGTGAGTAAAGTCGACCACTTTTCTCTCTCAGGGGTGTTGCTAACTCTGGGCAATGTGGTGAGTCCTTATCCATAAGTCAAATGAATCCTGGTCAGCCTTCTGTCCAGGTTCAACCTCGTGATGAGTCAGTGAAAGTCCGACGAAACAGTCTGTTCGGCACAGTCATGCTTTTTTTAGTGTATAGCAAATATGACAACACACACACACACACACACACACACACACACACACACACACACACACACACACACACACACACACACACTGTTACATGCCTAGTTGGGCGATGTACATAGAAACCGAGGATCCGCAATGTGATGAAAAGGACTGAATGGACAATCCAGTGCAAGTAGAATCTCAACAAGCAATGTGCATTCTAATACATACAAAATGGTGCTGAATAGCGCAGGGAAGACTTAGATACAAATCCTGACCTGACCGGGACTGACCTCATTCACATAGTATCAGGTAGCGAAGCAGAATGCTAGAATGCTAATGACTAGCCCAATCAATGTTTGAACGCAGACCAAACATACATCGTATCCATCACAAGGTGTGAAGGAGCCTGGCGCTGTACACAGGAAGGAAGCGCCAGGTCCAGACATACACAGACGAAGAAGAGGGGATCAGACGAAGAGGAGGGGGAGAGATGGGAATGTCGTCAACACCAAGTCTTTGTCA